GGTGACTCTCAACAGGAGATGTGAAAGGTCCCATAACAACAATCTCCCCTTGTATCAAAGTGACTCCGAACAGTTCACTGCACCACCCAAACACACCACATGCCAGTATTCCCTTGTATCAAAGTGACTCCGAACAGTTCACTGCACCACCCAAACACACCACATGCCAGTATTCCCTTGTATCAAAGTGACTCCGAACAGTTCACTGCACCACCCAAACACACCACATGCCAGTATTCCCTTGTATCAAAGTGACTCCGAACAGTTCACTGCACCACCCAAACACACCACATGCCAGTATTCCCTTTGTAGGACTGTTGTATTTCTTATGGGCGTTAGTAGTATATTTTTCTTCTACTGTATATATGTCATACATTGCCATAACTGTTCCTGCATACTGCTGTGTAAACTCACCTCGGTCTCCAGAGCATAAACTTTGTCTTGAATACAAGCCATGTCTACTTATTCCCTATATCGACAGACTAATCTACTGTTTTACTAAAATTTTTAATTTTTTTGACTTGCCAACAAATTAAAAGTTTAAATGATAAAACAACTCCATGCATCATCATTTGTTTTAGCAGTAAGACTGAAGCTAGTTTATCCAAATACATTTCATGAATATCATAATGAATAGAAAAATAAGTTGAAGTTAACACTATTGGTTTCTGATGCAGCTGGAATCATTACATTTACATTTACATTTACGTCATTTAGCAGACGCTCTTATCCAGAGCGACTTACAAATTGGTGCATTCACCTTATAGCCAGTGGGATAACCACTTTACAATATTTTTAATTTTTTGTTTTTTTTTGGGGGTGGGGGGGTAAGGGGGGGTAGAATGATTACTTTATCCTATCCCAGGTATTCCTTAAAGAGGTGGGGTTTCAAATGTCTCCGGAAGGTGGTGAGTGACTCCGCTGTCCTGGCGTCGTGAGGGAGCTTGTTCCACCATTGGGGTGCCAGAGCAGCGAACAGTTTTGACTGGGCTGAGCGGGAACTGTATGTTCAGAAGTAACAGGGCTGATGGTGTCTGAATGGAAGGAGGTAACAGGGCTGATGGTGTCTGAATGGAAGGAGGTGCCAGAGCAGCGAACAGTTTTGACTCATTAGTCACTTGACAGTACAGTTGTAAAGAGATGGTATAAAACAACATTACAGTATGTACAACAGCTAGCAATACCTATAGCACAATGCAGCTGAGACCATACTAGGCATTCTATATTATACTACAACATCAGTCTAACTGAATATGGATGTTGTGTTGGTTGAATGTTCCAGGCAGGTTCCAGAATGTTATTCAGCTGGTGAACCTCTTCTTATGTTGAGTAATGGCAGTTGGTTTAGCAGGCTTTGGCACTGTGACGATGTTGTCAGGGATGTTGGGTTTGGGGGGGGGGCTGTGACTATGGCTCCTTGTAGACAACCGTCTGGTCCTTTCTGCACTCCACAGCCAGGTGGACAAGCCTCTCCCTGAAGTGGTGGTTTCTGCACTCCACATCCAGGTGGACAAGCCTCTCCCTGAATTGGTCCTTTCCGCACTCCACATCCAGGTGGACAAGCCTCTCCCTGAAGTGGTGGTTTCTGCACTCCACATCCAGGTGGACAAGCCTCTCCCTGAAGTGGTCCTTTCTGCACTCAACATCCAGGTGGACAAGCCTCTCCCTGAAGTGGTGGTTTCTGCACTCCACAGCCAGGGGGACAAGCCTCTCCCTGCAGTGGTGGTTTCTGCACTCCACAGCCAGGGGGACAAGCCTCTCCCTGAAGTGGTGGTTTCTGCACTCCACAGCCAGGTGGACAAGCCTCTCGTACACTTTCTTCACCACCCACTGCTTCGACCTCTTGCAGAAGATTTGTTTTTACTGCAAGTCTCCTGGGAAGACATGAAGACTGATCATGAGGATGTGTAACCATACAATAAACCAAGTTCATCTGTAAACAAACAAGGGCGCAGTAGACTGGTATGTGTTTTGTTACACTCAGAGTCAATAATGGGGCATTGAGATGGGCTGTTAGCAAACATGTGAAAAGTTTGAGGGGGGCTTGACTTGTAGTTGTGCTGTTGAGTAGACGAGCACTGCCAACAATAGAGTGACTAGGCTAGAAGAGTACACTAGCAGCCCCTCTCCCACATGCTAAAGAACTGACTGCAAGGGTGTGAAAAGATTGAGGAGCACTTGTCTTGTAGACAATTTAGTGTATTGGTGATATTTTTTTCCCATGTCAATAGATCATGCATACTAACCTTCACACACAATACCCACCCCTAACAGACACCCGTCAGTCACCCACACCATCCCCTCCTTACTAATACCTCCCTTTCTCCAATTTAGACTTCAAGCCTTGCATGAACAATCAACTAAGCCTCCATAATACATAGAAAACTACAGTAGAAGTTGTAGCCTACTTGTAAACAAACCAACTACGACAACAAGACACGGACCATGTTTATGCATAACTCCTGTATATTTAGGTCATCATGGAGTCATGGAAAGATTTAGTCGATTTTTAAAAAGATTTTAGAAGGTGACTTATAGTTCCTCATGCTGCGCTTGATGTTGATGCCTCTGCAGATGTTGATGGGATCGGACTCTAAATTAAAAACATGGTCACGTTAGCCTCTGCAGTAGTTAGTTAGCCAGCTAACTAAAGTTTCGCTAACGTAACCTAACGAAGCTAATGCTAGCTTGCAAAGTTGTAGATCACATGGCCAGATAGCAGCTGGCTAATTACATTGACATGCTTTGGAATGTCTAGCCAACGTATTAAGAAAGATAGTTAGCTTTAGCTTTAGGTAACGTTAACTACCTTCCAATGGGACCAGAAGATAAACAAGTGCATGGAGAGGGCCCGGCGCTCCGCCAATCAGCTGGTGTACACACGTCAGGGAACACAATCCGCCACCCAGCCATTAAGCAGTGTGTCCCTGGGATGTACCGTACGGGTTGGAGTGCATCTGATGGACGAGGGCAACGACTTTATTCCTTGAGAGTTGAGAGGAGTCGCCACCGTTCTCTCCTCCGTAGTAGCAAGATGAAGAAGGCTGCAAACGTGGCCCGCAATTTGTGGATTTCCTGCATGTGGGCATTCCTGCATCTGCAGGAACCTCTCTTTATTCTTCTATTGGTCCATTTTTAAGATAGGACACCGGTACACAGGCGGGAGCGCTCCAGAACAGTAGTTCATGATAATGCACCATAACGTTGGATGCCAACCGCCCGATAAACCCCACAGAAGAAGAGGCGGGTGCGACAACGCTGGTAGCTAGTTAGCTAGCGAGGGGAAAATGGTTGACAGTGTCCTTCATCCCTGCTTGTCAGGCACTGCTTTCCCGCAGCTCTGTTAACGACGGCGAGGGAAGGTGTTAGCGAAGGGTGCTAGCTAGTTAGTTAGTTAACTAGAACTCTGGTACACAGCAGGCGGGATAGGTAGCTAGCTAGCTAACAATAGCTAGGACACTGGTATCACCCCCCCCCCCCCCCCCCCCCCCCCCCCCCCCCCCCAATTGGGGACGAAGGACACTGTGTGCTAGCTAGGACTCCCACATGCACCAACGCCCCGAATTGCAGGAGGCAATCACACAGTAGTACACACATCACACTCCCTGTCCATAGCCACTTTTAACACTTTTTTGGTTACTACATGATTCCATATGTGTTATTTCATAGTTTTGATGTCTTCACTGTTATTCTACAATGTAAAAAATAGTAAAAATAAAGAAAAACCCTGTAATGAGTAGGTGTGTCCAAACTTTTGACTGGTACTGTATATTTTATCTTTAACTCTGCATTGTTGGAAATGGACCCGTAAGTAAGCATTTCACTGTTAGTCTACACCTGTTGTCTATGAAGCATTTGACAAATAACATTTGATTTTATTTAAAAGTCAGGGTATAAGTCGAGAAACCTGACTATTTTCCTCGAAAGTACGTAATGTCAAGATTTCAAATATATACGATATTACAGATGACAAGTTAATTATCTAAAATCCTGAAAAATATTTGTAATTTTGAGTTTCTTGTTCACGTAATTCGTGCTCATGTTGGGTTTTTGTGTTAGCGCCCAGTTGACAGCATTTTTCAATTTCAATTTAAGGGCTTTATTGGCATGGGAAACGTGTGTTAACATTGGCAAAGGAAGTGAAGTAGATAGTAAACAAAAGTGAAATAAAGAATAAATATTAACAGTAAACATTACACTCAGAAGTTCCAAAAGAATAAAGACATTTCAAATGTCATATTATGTCTATATACAGTGTTGTAACGATGTGCAAATAGTTAAAATACAAATGGGAAAATAAATACACATAAATATGGGTTGTATATTTTTCTCCATGGAAGTATTCTACAAGTAGGGGGAGTTTAGTTTTTTATCCAGGTTACCCGTACCCGTATTTTTCCCACTTCTAAATCATATGTCCTACATTGTAAATTAAAAGTAGCCTAACTGTCTGCCCCATAACTTCTATTTAAAAATACGTTTTGAAAATATTAGTGCATAAAATAGTTTAAACGGATCAAAGAAAATGATGATAGGTTAGGTCTACTTACCTTGCCCAACGTTTTTAAAAACGTATCACAAAAAGATGATGTAAACGAAAGAAAAAAAGAAACTCATTTAGCAACACTCTACTAATTTACGGTATTTTCCCCCCCTTTTTTGATGATTTGTAACCAGTGGCTTTGACGTGTGTTTAGCGTTGGTACCGTTGGACCCTCCTCCATCTCCACCAGAAAGCCATGCCCAAATAAAAGCTCTCATTAGCTTGAGAGCGTACTAGGAGCGGCGCGGCAGAGAGACTGGTGCCGCTGAGAGACTCGCGGGGCAGGATACTATACGAGGAGGCTGTGTGCAAGAGAAAAGTTTGGTACAGGGACATTAACACCGAACTAGCCTCCGACTTCACTGTGGATCTTTCAGATTTTTTTTTTAGAAGAGCAACGTCAAACCACCGCTAAGATTACACATTTCCCCCAATATTTTCTTGTCCTAAAATCAACATGTCTAGTAGGCCTATGATTATGGTTCTGGTGATGCTTTGCATCGGGACCGCTGTGAACTGTATGCCGAAACGGAATGGGAAAAGCAGGCGGCAGGCTCATCAGGGAGAAACCAAAATACCTTCGGTGTCATCCGTCTCTCAAGGTGAGTTTTCATACTTTTTGGCTACATAATTGTAGGCTGATTTTGTTTGTAAAACTTTTATTTTATTATTTGTAAAACGTTTGCAGTCTATTATAGAAGAGTATCTCACGTTTATTATTGTAGGCATATTATTTAGCCATTTAGTCTATTGTAATGGGTAAACGTGGATTGTGTCAATCCCTAAAAATATGTCTACTTGGAAGTGTAACAAATTGTTCATTGACTTTCCTTCCCCAGACGGCTGCATTGATAATGGCCAGATGTATAACATTAACGACCAATGGGAGCGTTCCTATCTGGGCACTATGTTGGTCTGCACTTGTCACGGAGTTGCAGGAATTAAGTGTAAAACGAAACCAGAAGGTGAAGTTGCGTTTCTACGTCTTTAAATGTGTATAACCTACATGGTCAATGCAAGTCTTGTCTCTCACCATTTGTGTCAATGTCAGTTAACTTCTGTAAAATAATTATTGCAATGAACGAAGTTCAAATAAGTTTTCTCTCAGGCTACCTCTGTCCGTAACTCGTATAGGCTGTGCGTCATCAGTATAGATAGCGTAACTACTCTTGACTCTATTGCCATATCATCTACATGTTCATCTGCTCTCTGTTTCTGTGTGCCTGACGAAACACATCACATACCCCAAATCTGTTCCACAGCTGAGGAGACCTGCTATGATAAGATCAACGCCAGGTCTTATCAGGTTGGTGAGACGTATGAGCGACCCAAAGAGGGCATGATCTGGGACTGTACATGCATTGGCTCTGGCCGGGGGAAAATCAGCTGCACCATTGCCAGTGAGTGGGCTCGTGTGTGTGTGTGTGTGTGTGTGTGTGCCAGTGAGTGGGCTCATTAATCTCATTAAATCTCCATAACACATGGAGACCTCACAGTATGTGGTACGGTCTGTGCAGCTGTGTGTGTGTGTGTATGTTGCTGACTGTGTGTGTGTGTGTGTGTGTGTGTTGCTGACTGTGTGTGTGTGTGTTGCTGACTGTGTGTGTGTTGCTGACTGTGTGTGTGTGTGTGTGTGTGTGTGTTGCTGACTGTGTGTGTGTTGCTGACTGTGTGTGTGTTGCTGACTGTGTGTGTGTGTGTGTGTGTGAGTTGCTGACTGTGTGTGTGTTGCTGACTGTGTGTGTTGCTGACTGTGTGTGTGTGTGTTGCTGACTGTGTGTGTGTATGTTGCTGACTGTGTGTGTGTGTGTGTGTTGCTGACTGTGTGTGTATGTTGCTGACTGTGTGTGTGTGTGTGTTGCTGACTGTATGTGTGTGTGTGTTGCTGACTGTGTGTGTGTGTGTTGCTGACTGTGTGTGTGTGTGTGTTGCTGACTGTGTGTGTGTTGCTGACTGTGTGTGTGTGTGTTGCTGACTGTGTGTGTGTGTGTGTGTGTTGCTGACTGTGTGTGTGTGTGTGTGTGTGTGTTGCTGACTGTGTGTGTGTGTGTGTTGCTGACTGTGTGTGTGTGTGTGTGTGTGTTGCTGACTGTGTGTGTGTGTGTGTTGCTGACTGTGTGTGTGTGTGTGTGTTGCTGACTGTGTGTGTGTGTGTGTGTGTGTGTGTGTTTGACTTTGTGTGTTGTCTCTGACTGTGTCTGTCTGACTGTGTGTGTGTGTGTTGCTGACTGTGTGTGTGCGCGTGTGTCTGTCTGCCTGACTGTGCTTAAGTGTCTAACTGTCTTTCTATGTCCCAGACCGCTGCCATGAGGGTGGTCAGTCCTATAAGATTGGGGACACGTGGAGGAGACCCCATGACACTGAGAGCTACATGCTGGAGTGTGTCTGTCTGGGCAACGGCAAGGGAGAGTGGACCTGCAAACCTGTTGGTGAGCATTGGGAAGGACTCTTTTATTAGAGCGCACTGTAGCAAAACTTAGTACAACATTTTGCAACGTAAGATAGAAACAAGCGTTTATTGGACGAGTATAGAGAGTACCTTCCGGTTTCGGCCCGTTTGCTTCCGTTTCGTGTCTAGTGAATACGACCCCGGAACTGGAGTATAGCTGTCAAAACAAACACGGCATCATAACCCCTCCCTCTCGCTCTGTCTGCAGCGGAGCGTTGCTATGACAACACAGCGGGGACGTCCTACGTGGTGGGAGAAACCTGGGAGAAACCGTACCAGGGCTGGATGATCGTAGACTGCACCTGTCTAGGAGAGGGGAGTGGCAGGATCACCTGTACCTCTAGAAGTAAGACACCAACACACACACACACACACACACACACACACACACACACACACACCAGCTGGATCCCATTTTAATTAGCCTCTACAGACCGTTGCAGCTTCAACCCGGTGTGTGTGTGTGTGTGAGAGAGGGAGAGTGAGGGTATGGGAATAGTTCAGTTCTGCTTAATAAAGGGAAAACATTAGCTTAACTTGGTGAAGAAGAGTGTCAATTGTCTGTGGTGGAAATGTATAAATGTGGCAGTTCCATTTTTAAGTGATTTTACATATCCTTAATTTAAAACCCAATGCAAATATATAACATTTTAAAACGTGTCAGATAGTATACCACTGCTTGCCTATTAGCCTGTTATTGGAACTGAACTGGGTTGTATTCATTAGGGCAAAATGTAGCAAAATACTTTTCAACAGAACTAAAATCAGCATCTTATTGGACAATTCCAGGCAGTCACTCCCTGTTTCAGTGTGTTTTCTTCCGTTCGGTGCCCTAATGAACATGACCTTGTTAAAGTGCTTCTGAACTGTGGAACAACATCTCCTTTTCCCCCTATCAGACCGGTGTAACGACCAGGACACACTGACGTCCTATCGTATCGGAGACACCTGGAGCAAGACGGACGCCCGAGGTCACATGCTGCAGTGTCTGTGTACGGGGAACGGGCGCGGGGAGTGGAAGTGTGAGAGACACGCATCCCTCCATACCACCGGCCTGGGTGAGACTGTGTGTGTGTGTGTGTGTGTGTGTGTGTGTGTGTGTGTGTTTGCGTGTGTGTGAGTGTTAAATATATAAAGTGTGAGAGACAGATGGGTGAGATCTTCACTGCTTTTCCTCATCCTTCCCCAGATAGCCTGTGGTTGAACTGCATTGTAATTACATACCTCTACCGGCATTAAAAGTGACAGATTCTCTTTTGGGATTTTTCCCGGACACAGGATATCAATTGAACATGCTTTTTAGTATAGGACAGGGCTTAATCTGTATCTGGGAAACTTTCCCGTAAACTATTAAAAGCAAATGAGCATTTCTACTGACTGGAAGCATGTTTCCTTTTCCCATTTGTTGTGTGCTGCAGTCTGGGGGAACATTAAAAAAACGTACACATTCTCTTTTTCTAGATCTCTCTTTTTTTGACTTTCAAAGTGTGCACTACAAATGAGTTAACCCAAATCTAGTGGTGTACATTTTTACAAAAATGTCACTGACTGAAGGCATTTTTTTCCTTTCCCATCCATTTCCAGGCACTGGGTCCCGTGTGATCACCAACATCCAGCCGGCTGTGTACCACCCCCATCCCCAGCCAGGCCAGGAGCCTCCGCCCGGCCTAGCCCTGGAGGGGGCCTGCCAGACGGACGCGGGGGTGGCCTACGCCCTGGGGATGAGATGGATCAAGACCCAGGGCAGCAAACAGATGCTGTGTACCTGCCTGGGAAACGGGGTCAGCTGTGAGGAGTGGGGTACGTGCTCTTAGTCTTATTCATGTAATAATAGTAATAATAATAATAATAATATGCCATTTAGCAGACGCTTTTATCCAAAGCGACTTACAGTCATGCATGCATACATTTTTGTGTATGGGTGGTCCCGGGGGATCGAACCCACTACCTTGGCGTTAAAAGCGCCGTGCTCTACCAGCTGAGCTACAGAGGACCACATGTCAATTCATGCCTGCATTTAATGGTTTAATTTGGATCCACGCACCACTAGTTCTGAACACGGTGGTTTTAGTAACCTCTGAAAGGGAATTATTCATGCCAGGCCATTATTTTTTAAAGCTATTGAGTAAGATTACCGAGTGGCGCAGTGGTCTAAGGCACTGCGTCGCAGTGCTAGCTGTGCCACTAGAGATCCTGGTTCGAATCCAGGCTCTGTCGTAGCCGGCTGCGACCGGGAGACCCATGGGGCGGCGCACAATTGGCCCAGCGTAGGGGAGGGAATGGCCGGCAGGGATGTAGCTCAGTTGGTAGAACATGGCATTTGTAACGCCAGGGTTGTGGGTTCGATTCCCACGGGGGGCCAGTTTGAAAAATAATTTATGCACCCACTAACTGTAAGTCGCTCTGGATAAGAGCGTCTGCTAAATGACGTAAATGTAATTTCCAATTTTGTTCAGTACACATGGCAAATAAACTAGAAAGTTGATCTTGAAACTATGGCAATGTCTCTGACACACTAACTACATGTATATAGTTTACTGGTTCAAGTTGATTTGAAACAATGAATGCATTGGAAATCTTACTCCACAAAGCTCTAACAATAAAAACTGTCAACTTGCATCAGTCAGCAATCTTTCTGACTTCTGTTCTGGTTCTATGTGTTTTGTGTTCAGAGGGCCCAGCCCCAGTGTACGGGGGAAACTCCAACGGTCAGCCCTGTGTGTTCCCCTTCACCTACATGGGGAAGACCTACCACTCCTGTACCTCAGAGGGACGCCCTGACGGGCAGCTGTGGTGCTGCATCTCCTCCGACTGCGAGACAGAACAGAAATACTCCTTCTGTACCAAGAAGAACGGTGAGATTTTGTTAAATATTCAATTTACAGCTTTTTTTATTTATTTGAGACAAGAGGTAGGTGGAAAGGAGCAGGGAGACAGAGAGAGAGGGAGGGATGGATGGGTGGAGAGAGCAGGGAGATGGAGAGGGAGGGATGGATGGGTGGAGAGAGAGAGCAGGGAGACAGAGAGGGAGGGATGGATGGATAGAGAGAGCAGGGAGATGGAGAGGGAGGGATGGATGGGTGGAGAGAGAGAGAGATCAGAAGTACGCCTTCTGAATCTAAAAGAATGGTGATCTCTTGGATGCAGGCAACACGAGTAGAGCAAGCGTTTTGGCTGATGGGCCATCATCCGTGGGAGCTCGACACAAGCATGTGTTGAGAATGGTGATCTCAACCTGAGCGTTATCCAGCAGAGTCTCTAGAATTCTAGCCAGCCAACATCGTTAACATCTGGCTTCTATTAGAGTGGGAGAATGGGACTTAGTATCCAAGTTTTTTTTAGGGTAGTGACTTTACTGATTGGCTGCGTTCCAAATGACACCCTATTCACTTTGTAGTGCACTACTTTGGACTAGAGCACTATCTAGGGAATAGGAGCCATCTGTGAAACGCACTCATTTGGGACTGTGTCTGTTGTGTTTGCAGTGATGGTGACAACCAGGGGAGGAAACTCTAACGGTGCCCTGTGTCAGTTCCCCTTCCTCTACAACGGGAGAAACTACACAGACTGTACCGCCGACGGGCGCAGGGACGGCATGAAGTGGTGCGGCACCACCACCAACTATGACGGAGAACAGAGGTTTGGCTTCTGCCCCATGGCTGGTGAGTTCTGTGGTCCCATTCTCAGTTCTATTGCCCCATTCTGAGTTATCTTGCCCCATGGCAGGTGAGATTTGATGCCCCATGGCTGGTGAGTTCTGTGGTCCCATTATGAGTTCTATTGTCCCATTCTGAGTTCTCTTGCCCCATGGCAGGTGAGATTTGATGCCCCATGGCTGGTGAGTTCTGTGGTCCCATTCTCAGTTCTATTGCCCCATTCTGAGTTCTCTTGCCCCATGGCAGGTGAGATTTGATGCCCCATGGCTGGTGAGTTCTGTGGTCCCATTCTGAGTTCTATTGTCCCATTCTGAGTTCTCTTGCCCCATGGCAGGTGAGATTTGATGCCCCATGGCTGGTGAGTTCTGTGGTCCCATTCTCAGTTCTATTGCCCCATTCTGAGTTCTCTTGCCCCATGGCAGGTGAGATTTGATGCCCCATGGCTGGTGAGTTCTGTTGCCCCATTCTGAGTTCTATTGCCCCATTCTGAGTTCTCTTGCCCCATGGCAGGTGAGATTTGATGCCCCATGGCTGGTGAGTTCTGTTGCCCCATTCTGAGTTCTATTGCCAGACACATGCACGCAATGATCGTACGAAAGCAGCCAGTGGCCGTCCTATCACCTGTAGTCCCTGCATTGTGACAATCCAGTCAGATGTAGTCAGTGGTAATCTCTGCTGTTAATGGGCGTTGGACCAGTAACCGAAAGTTCGTTGGTTCCAATTCCCGAGATGACTAGGTGAAAAATCTGTCGATGTGCCCTTGGGCAAGGCACTTAACCGACGCGTCAATTAACTTAAGGTGGAGTGGTGGGAACCACAGGGGTCTTTTGATTTACATTAGATGCTCGCTAAGTGCCTTTAAATCAAGTCGGTGTTTAAAATGCCATCTGTTGGCTCGGAACACAAAAGGGTTAAAGACTGCCTTTAAACAAACACGTTTTGAAATGCTAATGATATGTCTGAGGCCATTGGAGTAGTGTGGGATCTCTACTCTGCTTCTCTGCTCTCCCTCTTTATCATGGTCTCAATCTGTCTTCTATTTGTTCTTTGGGATTTTTACACAATCAGTCAATCTCTGTTTGGCTGAATGGGGCAGTGGTAAAATTCACACGCCTGTCGAAAGCACTGACCAGTTATTGAGTTTAAGTGCAGTGTTTAAAGGTCATTAGGCGAATGGGTAAATTACCATGAGAAAGGACACTGATTTGCCTGTAAAGAGTTCATGGTGATTGTTATCACTGTTTTTAGCCTCCCAGCTGGGCTGAAGGGGCCCAGGCAGACCTAGCGGAGACCCAGAGCCCATAGCCTGGGCTCCCACACCAGAGCCAGAGATCCAGGCCTAGAGCCCAGACCACCAGAACCAGAGTAATGAAACCCGACCCAGAGCCCAGAGGCGGGCCAGGGAGAGGGAGAGACTCCCAGGGCCCAGAGGCAGGCCAGGGAGAGGGAGAGACTCCCAGAGGCCACCGTGTGTCTTCCTGACAGAGACTAGAGGGAGAGACTCCTTTCACCGCCTGTCTGGTCTCCAGGGCAGCCAGCTGCAATAAGCCTCTTCAACACCTCCACAGTCCACACTGCCCCCCCCCCCCCCCCCCCCCATCTCTGCCGTCACCTCTCCACACAGACAGACCTCCTATCTGTATCTCGGTTTATTTAAACCACTCATCTCCTTTTAATTAGGAAGACAGCCCCCACAGAGACCCATATGTGTATAAAACCCCTCAGAGGGTTATGTTATGAACATCTGTTTATGACGTTCAGCCTTTGCAAGTTTCATTTGACCTAGTGCTCCAGGTGCACTGTATGGCTGACAAAAATTCTGTATGTTCTAACATTCTAGAAGTTCTAACATTCTAGAAGTTCTAACATTCTAGAAGTTCTAACATTCTAGAAGTTCTAACATTCTAGAAGTTCTAACATTCTAAAAGTTTAAACATTCAAAGTTCTAACGTTTTAAATTCTAAGTTCTCTGTCCTCTCAGCTCACGAGGAGGTGTGTACGACCAGCGAGGGCGTGATGTACCGCGTGGGAGACCAGTGGGACAAACGCCACGACGTCCTGGGACACATGATGCGCTGCACCTGCGTTGGGAACGGCCGCGGAGAGTGGAGCTGTATCGCTTATTCCCAGCTCAAAGGTAATAAAAATAGGATTTTTTATAGCGCTTTTCTAAAACGCTTAATAGTAGGTGAGAGGTCATACATGCCACATAGAAAGTGTCAGCACTGTGGTGATGTACAGCCGGTCAGAATCGTTTTCCTACCCCTTCAACCTAACACTTTGATGTTCTCAGATCTGTAAGGTAGATGCAATATGGTGGAAGCGGTGAAGAGAGAATTGGGACCAGCTGTTTTTTTTTTTTACCTTGAATGTGTTTCCTTCCTGTCATAGATCAGTGTATTGTGGACGGGTTGACCTATGAGGTGAACCAGACCTTTACTAAGCTTCATGAAGAGGGCTACATGATGAACTGTACCTGCTTCGGACAGGGCCGTGGGCGCTGGAAGTGTGACGCCATTGGTGAGTTTATAGTTCATACAAACCTAGCATTTTATGGACCAAGCTATTCATTTGTAGTGGTATTAATAATTTGAGGTACTGTGCTTGACTAGCCTGGGCCCATATCTGTTTGTGCTGTCTTACCAACTCCTCTGGTCATTGTCACGCCAATACACCACAAACAGAACCCCCTATGGGCCCTGGTCTAAAGTAGTGCACTAGATAGGGAACTGGTCTAAAGTAGTGCACTAGATAGGGAACTGGTCTAAAGTAGTGCACTAGATAGGGAACTGGTCTAAAGTAGTGCACTAGATAGGGAACTGGTCTAAAGTAGTGCACTAGATAGGGAACTGGTCTAAAGTAGTGCACTATATAGGGAACTGGTCTAAAGTAGTGCACTAGATAGGGAACTGGTCTAAAGTAGTGCACTATATAGGGAACTGGTCTAAAGTAGTGCACTAGATAGGGAACTGGTCTAAAGTAGTGCACTATATAGGGAACTGGTCTAAAGTAGTGCACTAGATAGGGAACTGGTCTAAAGTAGTGCACTATATAGGGAACTGGTGTAAAGTAGTGCACTAGATAGGGAACTGGTCTAAAGTAGTGCACTATATAGGGTGTAATGTTGGACAGAGCCTAAATCTCACTGTTTTAATATCTGTTCTCAGACCAGTGCCAGGAGCCAGAGACCAGGGTGTTCTATCAGATCGGCCAATCATGGGACAAGCTGATCCACGGCGTCATGTACAAGTGTTATTGCTATGGCAACGGTATCGGAGAGCTCAGCTGCGAGCCCCAACAGTCTTTCCCAGGTAAGAACACAACCTCACCAAGCCCTATAGTGGTCACAATACTACACTATACTATTGGAAAATGTTCTGTGGGGGGTACGTTCAACCGTCTTTCCCCCTGGTAATAACTAATATCACTAGCTAGGCATGGTCACTACCGTTGAGTGGAAAAAAGCGAATTTTAGTTGATTAAACAACTTAATAGACCAACGCGCAGTTTCTCTAGAGAGAAATCAAAATCGTTCATGAGATAAATTAAGTCGAGAACTATGTGGGACACTGGGCTGAAGGGAGTTGTAGTTTTCATTAGGCAAATATTCAACCTAGTTCAGCGCAGAAACGTGGTAATTAACTACAATGACCATAATCCACCACGCCTGTTCTTCCCAGCTCAGACAGACGGATAGAGGAATGTTCACCACACAATGACGACGGATAGAGAGAGTTTGTGAGGTAGGGCTACCCGAGTGATAGTTGTAGTAGTCGTTGGTCATAAGCAGTCTTGAAAGTATAGCTTTATGTACTTTGAAGAACTAGTAAAATGATTTTGTCAGACAGCTCTGCAGTGTAGCATAATTAGGCAGCCACTAGCTAGCCATCTAGCTACTAACAGTAGCCTAGCTAAATAGGATGACTCAAAGACAGTACGGTATGGGTCGCACAGAGATAACGTTTAGCTGGCTGGCTGGCTGGCTGGTTGGCTGGCTGGCTGGCTGCTACTGCCTGAGCAGAGATGAGATGATGACTGAATGAAAAATAATTGTAATCAAATAAAAACGAAGGAATATAGACAACTGAAATATTTTCTTTTATAGAAGTTTCCTGTTTTTCTATTGATGTCTACCCAATGTGGACCTGACAGAGACCATGGAATGTTTTCAATGTTTTGGCTATTATTTTTATGTCATTATTTCATCATGCATATAATGTTTAAACAAATATAGAAATCGAAACGTGATAATTTTGTAATAACCCGAACCGACCTCAAAAAACACGAATGGCTCAGCACTAGTGGTCACAAGACGATGCTGTTGGTGGGGTTTGTTTTCTGTTGAAATGTGTTGTGTTACAACAATATTACTTCACTGTGGTAGGCTGGGGGAGGAGGAGGCACTGGCTCCACTAGGAGATGAAGGCAATACTCTGTGGTAAGGCCTACGGGCTGGATGCAATACTCTGTGGTAAGGCCTACGGGGTGGATGCAATACTCTGTGGTAAGGCCTACGGGCTGGATGCAATACTCTGTGGTAAGGCCTACGGGCTGGATGCAATACTCTGTGGTAAGGCCTACGGGCTGGATGCAATACTCTGTGGTAAGGCCTACGGGGTGGATGCAATACTCTGTGGTAAGGCCTACGGGGTGGATGCAATACTCTGTGGTAAGGCCTACGGGGTGGATGCAATACTCTGTGGTAAGGCCTACGGGCTGGATGCAATACTCTGTGGTAAGGCCTACGGGGTGGATGCAATACTCTGTGGTAAGGCCTACGGGCTGGATGCAATACTCTGGTAAGGCCTACGGGGTGGATGCAATACTCTGTGGTAAGGCCTACGGGCTGGATGCAATACTCTGTGGTAAGGCCTACGGGCTGGATGCAATACTCTGTGGTAAGGCCTACGGGCTGGATGCAATACTCTGTGGTAAGGCCTACGGGGTGGATGCAATACTCTGTGGTAAGGCCTACGGGGTGGATGCAATACTCTGTGGTAAGGCCTACGGGCTGGATGCAATACTCTGTGGTAAGGCCTACGGGGTGGATGCAATACTCTGTGGTAAGGCCTACGGGCTGGATGCAATACTCTGTGGTAAGGCCTACGGGCTGGATGCAATACTCTGTGGTAAGGCCTACGGGCTGGATGCAATACTCTGTGTACCCTCCATGGTAAAAGCCTACGGGGTGAACAATGTTTTCTTTTTAGATACTCCTTCCTGGAACGTCTGTTCTCCAGGGTGAAGTTTCCCCTACAAACAGATCTAGGTTCAGCTTCCCCTCCCCCAACCACATCCTCAACCGTTAGTGGGGAAAATGCAAAACTGACCGAAGATCAGCATCTAGAGGCACATTTACCCTACACCAATATCTGTTTCTGCCTTTGTGTTACTCTTCCTCCTGTGCGACGCCAGGGTTGGGGGTTCGATTCCCACGGGGGGCCAGTATGAAAAATGTATGCACTCACTAGCTGTAAGTCGCTCTGGATAAGAGCGTCTGCTAAATGACTAAATTGTAATCTCTGATCTGTGCTTTCTCTCCACAACGCCCCCTCACGCTCTTTTTAATTTAGCAGAAAACCAACAATCTAATTAAACTAGCCTGCTCCAGAGTCGTTAAATCTGTCCCCCCCCCCCCCCCCCCCCCCCCCGTTTGTTTGGGACTTGACTTTGAAGTGGAGGGCAGAGAGGGGGAGGCTCTCACACGTTGGTAAATATCCACCACCTCCTCCTTTTTTCTTAGGTCTTTGTTGTTAGTTGGTGTATGTTGTTGAGGTGTTGGAGGAGGTGGTGGATATTTACCCAACGTGTGAGAGCCTCCCCCTCTCTGCCCTCCACTTCAAAGTCAAGTTGTAAACAAAGTCCCAAACAAACGGTGGGGGGGGGGGGGGACAGATTTAACGACTCTGGAGCAGGGTAGTTTAATTATATTGTTGGTTTTCTGCTAAATTAAAAGAGCGTGAGGGGGCGTTGTGGAGAGAAAGCACAGATCAGAGATGCAGCGAGTGTTCCCTGTGACACAGGAGGAAGAGTAACAGCGGAGGGCAGAGAGGGGGAGGCTTCCTCCTCCTCAGTCTTTGTTGTTAGTTGACATGTGGTGTTACCAGAGGTAAGTGGAGGAGAGAGGGGTAGGCTGGAGGCTGGAGGCTCACACACATTGTTGTATCCTCTGTCTCTCTGTAGAGGTGCTCAGACAGGGTTTGTACCATCATCAAAATCCTGGAAAAGTCATGGAATTTTTTTATGGTGTTTTTTAAGGCCTGGAAAAGTTTAGGAAAAGTCATGAAAAATGATTTAATAATTTCTGTTAATGTAATTTATTTAGGCACAGTTTTTAAATATTTTATAAATCAAATCAAAATCAAAATATCAGCCAGGATCGGAATGACAGTAGCGAGTCTGTGTTTGCACGCTTCACCTGCGTAGTGCGAGTGTAGAGAGAGACTGCAGCAGGTAGGCCTAGCCTATAAAATATGATCTAGAACAGATTAACTAGGTAGACAATTCAAAACATATCTTGTACCCTCTAGTTAACTGTTTTTAGTGATTATTAGCATGTATTCATGATTTCCTTGCGAAAAAGGTCATACAAAGTGTATTTCCTTTTTTGAACTTCATATGATTTGTTTAAACAATTCTTCTTGACAAAATGAACGATTCACTTCACCATTGCATTAGTTGGGATTCGGTTCAGTCGCAGTGAATCGAATCATGTGAATCAAAATAATTTGTGAATCGTCAACATTCGTTATAGGAACAAATATTAGATGTAGCCTTTCTTTTGGATTATATGGCTTCAAAACTTGTTTTGTTGATACTTCCAGTTGATATGGGACTCCAATGTATGGGACTCCAATGTATGGGACTCCAATCGTTGGGACTCCTTTGTATGGGACTCCTTTGTATGGGACTCCAATCGTTGGGACTCCAATCGTTGGGACTCCAATCGTTGGGACTCCTTTGTATGGGACTCCAATCGTTGGGACTCCAATCGTTGGGACTCCAATCGTTGGGACTCCAATCGTTGGGACTCCTTTGTATGGGACTCCAATCGTTGGGACTCCAATCGTTGGGACTCCTTTGTATGGGACTCCTATGTATGGGACTCCTATGTATGGGACTCCTATGTATGGGACTCCTATGTATGGGACTCCTTTGTATGGGACTCCTTTCTATGGGACTCCTATGTATGGGACTCCTATGTATGGGACTCCTATGTATGGGACTCCTTTGTATGGGACTCCAATCGTTGGGACTCCAATCGTGGGACTCCAACTCGTTGGGACTCCTTTCTATGGGACTCCTATGTATGGGACTCCAATGTATGGGACTCCTATGTATGGGACTCCTATGTATGGGACATTGTAACTAAATAGATGGTAGTCAGCCTGCAAAGTAAACATTTCTAAGGTAGCTAAGATAAATATGACTAAACTAAAAAAAAGTCAATTTCCTAGAAAATGTGTGGGCTACCATAGCCATTTGATCTTTGATATATTGAGTGAGCGAATTATTTCAAAAGGCATAAAACTTATTTGGTTGTAAAGTTGCAATGTTTTACATCAAGTTTGGTCAACCATCCTCCAGGAGAGCTAATGGGTGGTCAACCATCATCCAGGAGAGCTAATGGGTGGTCAGCCATCCTCCAGGAGAGCTAATGGGTGGTCAGCCATCCTCCAGGAGAGCTAATGGGTGGTCAGCCATCCTCCAGGAGAGCTAATGGGTGGTCAACCATCCTCCAGGAGAGCTAATGGGTGGTCAACCATCATCCAGGAGAGCTAATGGGTGGTCAGCCATCCTCCAGGAGAGCTAATGGGTGGTCAACCATCCTCCAGGAGAGCTAATGGGTGGTCAACCATCCTCCAGGAGAGCTAATGGGTGGTCAACCATCATCCAGGAGAGCTAATGGGTGGTCAACCATCCTCCAGGAGAGCTAATGGGTGGTCAACCATCATCCAGGAGAGCTAATGGGTGGTCAACCATCATCCAGGAGAGCTAATGGGGTGTGCACTGTGCAGGGTTTTATTCCATTCCCCTTGCAACAAACCATATTTTAGAAATGAGCTGCTCAACCAGACCTTGATAAACTGGCCCTGATGTGTTTGAGCAGGGCTGGATCAAAATCCTGCACACCCAGCAGCTCTCCTGACTGAGGGTTGACCACGTGTTTTATACAGTTGCCTAAAAGGTATTTTACTTTGTGGGGGGTTAAGTGCATTGCTCAACGAGTATCTATCGACAGGAGATGGTAAATGGGATCAGAGAGCAGCCTCCCAGTGTCGATACCACATTACGCATACTTTTTTTATACATACATAGAGACGCCGCCAATTGTTGGTCATGGAAATTTGGTTAAAAGTCATGGAAAAGTCATGAAATTCCATCTGTCAAAATGTAAATGAACCCTGTCAGAGCTCCACTTAACCTGTTAACAAGCAATCTCAATGTTGACAGCTGTTTACAGTTTTTCTAGCAGTCATTTGACCTGGCAATGGTATTACTTAGTGTGATATGTTAAGAACTATTTGCACTAGAAGGAATCTTGGAGTACTTTCTTTATCTCACTCTCACCAATGCTCTCCGTACCCTGCTACAATCCCCAGCTGTTTTCTGTTTTGGTTACAACGCCGTGGCTGTTATCATTTTGAAGCAACGCAAAGAAAATGTGCCCCCCTATCCACTCTAGACCGTGTACGTGTACGCAGGTTGAAAAAAAAAAAAAAGCCTCAGCATTTATTTCTTTTTTAAGTGAAGGGTACCCCGAGCCCAGTGCAATAACCTCTCCTTAACGACACGCAGCTGTGAAATGGCTGGGAAGGAGTGCAGCCCTGGGTTCAAATACTGTTTCGAAATCTATCAAATACTTTTAGCGTTTGCTTTAGCCTGCCTGGAATGCCAGATGGGCAGGGTTTCTGCAGGGTTTTTTGTTGCGACTATTTCTATTGGGTCCATTCAATCAAACCCAGATAAGGTATATGAATCCCAGGTCTGTGAAGGAGGGTTCTAGAGACTGGTGTTGGTTGGACTAAGTGGGATTTAAACACTGTATAAACCCCCCCCCCCCCAGTCAGTGGGCCTTAGGAACTGTAATTAGGAGAAAATTGAGACCAGATTGTGCCGAGGTCATACAGACTATTCTATCCTACCCTAGCGTGGTTAACCAATCCACTTGCTGAGGGGTTTTGATTTGATACGATAATTTTTTTTCTATGTAGAAAACAGTACTTCAGAGTTAGGCTGGAGTCTCTACAGAAAAAAAAATAAAACGACAGTTTCAACTTCCAATTGTCAGGATTATGCCTGTAGTCATAGAATGCAATAGAACTCTGTTTTATATCCTAAAGTGATTGGATTATCCATTTATAATTGCGTTGGGCGGTATCTAGATTTTCCTATTTTCATACTGTCCTTCTCTCATCCTGGGATTTACCGGCTTCAGTGGTGGTCGGTGCCATTTTAAGATGAGGGCATATGACTGTCATTCATATTCCATTCACCCAGTTCAATGTAACATCGATAGGTTTAGGCTACTACATGATACTCTAATGTTCCCTATACAGTGAGGGAAAAAAGTATTTGATCCCCTGCTGATTTTGTACGTTTGCCCACTGACAAAGAAATGATCAGTCTATAATTTTAATGGTAGGTTTATTTGAACAGTGAGAGACAGAATAACAACAACAAAAATCCAGAAAAAACGTATGTCAAAAATGTTATAAATTGATTTGCATTAGAACCATGAGCCTCCTAGGTTCTGTATTGAAGTCAATGTACCCAGAGGAGGACGGAAGCTAGCTGTCCTCCGGCTACACCATGGTGCTACCCTACAGAGTGCTGTTGAGGCTACTGTAGACCTTCATTGCAAAATAATGTGTTTTAATCCATTATTTGGTGACGTTATTATATTTAGTATAGTTTTATCTAAAAAGGATAACTTTTTTAATGTTTGGTAATAATTTTCTTTATGAAATTCACTGAGGAGGATGGTCCTCCACTGACTGGCTTAGTACACAAGGGGCTCCAAAAAAACATTAAAAAAAGCCCATTGGGCGTCTATTACCAGAATGCTAACCAAATTAGCACAAGTAATATCGAATTTCCATTGAGGCTGCTAGCCAAATATGCTAACGAGCGCAAACAAAAGTAAATTAATTGCAAAGACAGGCAAACCAGCTCATAAACGTATACATTTTATTGGTAGGATCTACCGAATGTCATTTTTGGTGAGTTTGGACATTTACAAGCGAATGTGAATGAGAGACATTGTGCAAATGAACAGCACTGGCTCCGGAGCAGCATGTGTATAGGCTGTGTCTGTGTGGAGTCTGGAGTCACTAGGGCAACGGGCCTGCCTGCTCTGCTTGGAGAAGATGGGGGAGGAGCAGAACAGAGAGGAGAAAAATATAAGGAAGTCAAGATGGCAGCTGTACAGAGTTCTCAAACAAAGCAGAAAGCCAACACTATATGATCCCCCTTCACCTTATTAATTCAGCCACTTACTTAGATAACTAGCAAGTTAAACTTAGTAGTCGCGTTAACACAAAATTATGTTTCTCACGCAGGAAAAAAAGATAAAACGCATAAGAAGTATCTTGCTGCATTTTGTAAACACAGGTCTAAAATGCAAGATTTAACTTTAAGCAAAACATTAGGAAATGTAGCTGGCTACATTCTTTCTATGATAAACATTAGAAATATGATGGCCGTGCATCGTATTCGCTAAAAACATCTTGCTTTTTCATTGTAAACTCATAGCGTTGCAAATAGCGTTCCACTTCTGTTGTCATCTGATGAAATTGAAGCTATTTTTGGCCGAATGTGTTGTACTAATGTATTGTCTGTGAAGGAACACTATAGCATGCCTCCTGTAGCTCAGTTGGTAGAGCATGGCGCTTGCAACGCCAGGGTTGTGGGTTCGATTCCCACGGGGAGGGGGCCAGTATGAAAAAAGTATGCACTCACTAACTGTAAGTCGCTCTGGATAAGAGCGTCTGCTAAAATGACTAAAATGTAAATGTAGTAGCTACAAATATTCAAATTAATTGAAAAACTTCAAAGAAATAGTTTTGACGGTATTAAAAAAACCATCCCGTGGCTATTTCCAAATAACCTGGTATACGGTATAACACCCAAACCTAATTTATAATATAATAATATATATAAATATATGCCATTTAGCAGACACTTTTATCCAAGGTGACTTACAGTCATGTACGCATTACATTGAAAGTAGTGGTTTAGGGAAACATGCTATCGTTGGCTCTAAAGTTATAGTTTATATTTCTGTTGCAGTGTAGCTACAGTGGGGAGAACAAGTATTTGATACACTGCCGATTTTGCAGGTTTTCCTACTTACAAAGCAGCAGTGTATCAAATACTTGTTCTCCCCACTGTATGTCTACATGAACAGGTCTAGTGAAGGAGCTGAGGGTTGTTTTCTCTCTCTGCTCTGCATGCTGAAAACCCTGGCTAACAAGAATCTCACAGGGATATGCTACTTCTCCCCCAATTGTTGCAGTACTTCAGCGTCTCATGCACTGCACTGTACAACCTACCATTTCAGAGCTGGTTTAACTGTGCGCTTTCTGAAATTGTAACAGTATCTTGTTAGTTTAGATTCCAAATTGGTTGTGTTGTTTTTCCCAGATTGTTTCATTGCTTGGTGGGTATCTAGATTTCACATCATGCTGTTCCAATATCTTAACAAATAACTACTGTCAATTGTTATCAGATGATGTGTTGCTGAGACATAGTTTCACCACTAACCTATAATACAGTCTGTTCTATCAGATGGTGTGTTTCTGTAGTACTGTAATTTTTCTTCCTCCGTATGGCGTGTTTCAACTTTGGCATGCTTCATACCTCTCTCCCAGGTGGTAACCGACCAGTCCAGGTGATCATCACAGAGTCTGGTAACCAACCCAACTCCCACCCCATCCAGTGGAACGCCCCGCCCTCCGCACACATCACACAGTACATACTCAAGTGGAGAGTGGTGAGTAGTCTATATTCTAGACTAGGGTACATTCTAGACTAGGGTACATTCTAGACTAGGGTACATTCTAGACTAGGGTACATTCTAGACTAGGGTACATTCTAGACTAGGGTACATTCTAGACTAGGGTATATTTTAGAGTCTGGTGGTTAATATACATCAGATGGGTGGCAGGTAGCTTAGTGGTTAAGAGCGTTGTGCCAGTAACCGAAAATCCCCGAGCCGACTAGGTGAAAAATCTGTCTGTGTGCCCTTAAGCAAGGCACTTAACCCTAATTGCTCCTGTAAGTGGCTCTGGATAAGAGCGTCTGCTAAATGACTAAAACGTAAATAAATGATATAAGCAAAACTGAACTCTAAAGAAGTTTTACATGCAGTTTGGATTCCACATAATAATATTATGGGCACCAGCTGTAGCACTGAATTCTAGGGTTTGGTTGTTTCCTAGACATAGATTAAACCTGAAGGTCCTGAAGTTAAAATCAGATACTGAATAAAAAAAACTGAAAAGAGAATCTCCATTGTCCAGGACTGGGTTAAATATGGCTGTATCCACATGCAGCCAAATTCTGCTCTTTTGCCCAAATATTGGCAGAAGAGCTGATCTGTTTGGTCAAAAGACCAATTGGTGTTAAAACAATCAGAATTGGGTTCGGGAAACTGGCCCCTAAACTCAGTGATGGAAAAGGTACCCAATTTTCATACTTGAGTAAAAGTAAAGATACCTTAATAGAAAAAGACTCAAGTAAAAGTGAAAGTCACCCAGTAAAATACTACTTGAGTAAAAGTCTAAAATTATTTGGTTTTAAATATACTTAAGTATCAAAAGTAAATGTAATTGCTAAAATATACTGAAGTATCAAAAGTACAAGACCCCTTGACTTTTTCCACATTTTGTTACGTTACAGCCTTATTCTAAAATTAATTGAATAGTTTTTTTCCCTCATCAATTTACACACAATGTCCCATAATGACAAACAAAAATAGATTTTTAGGCATTTTTGCAAATTTATTAAAAATAAAAAACAGAAATATCACGTTTACATAAGTATTCAGACACTTTACTCAGTACTTTGTTGAAGCACCTTTGACAGCGATTACAGCCTTGAGGCTTCTTGGGAATGACACTACAAGCTTGGCACACCTGTATTTGGGGAGTTTCTCCCATTCTTCTCTGCAGATCCTCTCAAGCTCTGTCAGGTTGGATGGGGAGCGTTGCTGCACAGCTATTTTCAGGTCTCTCCAGAGATGTTCGATCGGGTTCAAGTCCGGGCTCTGGCTGGGCCACTCAAGGACATTCAGAGACGTGTCCCGAAGCCACTCCTGCGTTGTCTTGGCTGTGTGCTTAGGGTCGTTGTCCTGGTGGAAGGTGAACCTTTGCCCCCAGTCTGAGGTCCTGAGCGCTCTGGAGCAGGTTTTCATCAAGGATCTCTCTGTACTTTGCTCTGTTCATCTTTCCCTCGATCCTGACTAGTCTCCCAGTCCCTGCCACTGAAAAACATCCACACAGCATGTGATGCTGCCACCACCATGCTTCACCGTAGAGATGGTGCCAAGTTTCTTCCAGATGTGACGCTTGGCATTCAGGCCAAAGAATTCAATATTGGTTTCATCAGACCAGAGATTCTTGTTTCTCATGGTCTGATTGCCTTTTGGCAAACTCCAAACGGGCTGTCATGTGCCTTTTACTGAGGAGTGGCTTCCGTCTGGCCACTACCATAAAGGCCTGATTGGTGGAGTGCTGCAGAGATGGTTGTCCTTCTGGAAGGTTCTGCCATCTCCACAGAGGAACTCTTGAGCTCTGTTAGAATGACCATCGGATTCTTGGTCACCTCCCTGACCAAGGCCCTTCTCCCACGAATACTCAGTTTGGCCGGGCGGCCAGATCTAGGAAGAGTCTTGGTGGTTCCAAACTTCTTCCATTTAAGAGTGATGGAGGCCACTGTGTTCTTGGGGACCTTCAATGCTGCAGACATTTTTTGGTACCTTTCCCCAGATCTGTGCCTCAACACAATCCTGTCTCGGAGCTCTACGGACAATTCCTTCGACCTCATGGCTTGGTTCACTGTCAACTATGGGACCTTATATAGACAGGTGTGTGCCTCTCCAAATCATGTCCAATCAATTTAATTTACCACAGCTAGACTCCAATCAAGTTGTAAAAACATCTCAAGGATGATCAATGGAAACAGGATGCACCTGAGCTCAATTTCAAGTCTCATCGCAAAGGGTCTGAATACTTATGTACATAAGGTATTTCTGTTTTTTATTTATTTTGAATACATTTGCAAAAATGTCTAAACCTGTTTTCGCTTTGTCATTATGGGCAATTGTGTGTAGATTGATGAGTAAAATATTCTATTTAATCAATTTTAGAATAAGGCTGTAACGTAACAAAATGTGGAAAAAGTCAAGGGGTCTGAATAATTTCAGAATGCACTGTAAATAATTTCAAATTCCTTATATTAAGCGGTCAGAGGAAATGTAGATCCATTAGAATTATGAAAGAGGAGGCTACATTGATTCAGTCTTAACCTGACACTTCCTTCTGGCCTTTTCTGAGAGTGCGGCAGACAGAGAGAGAGTGGGGCAGACCGAGAGAGAGAGTGGGGCAGACCGAGAGAGAGAGTGGGGCAGACCGAGAGAGAGAGTGGGGCAGACCGTGAGAGAGAGTGAAAGTGAGACAGAGAGAGAGAGATTCCTTAATCAGACGACCACATGTTCTAGTTTTTTTACTTCTGTACGGCAATACCTTTCCTTTCCTCCTCTCTCCTCCTCCCCCCTCCTCCTTTCTCCCCCCTCCTCCTCCTCCTCTTCCTCCTCCTCCTCCTCCTACTCTCTCCTCCCCCCTCCCCTCGCCTCCTCCTCCCCCCTCGTCCTCTTCATAAACCTTTGTTGACTGTTTTGCAGTGGTGGAAAAATAACCCAATTTGTCATCCTTGAGTAAAAGTAAAGATACCTTAATAGAAAGTTACTAGAGTACAAGTGAAAGTCACCCAGTAAAATACTACTGGAGTAAAAGTCTAAAAGTATTTGGTTTTAAATTTACTTTAGAATCCAAATTAAATGTAATTGCAAAAATTATACTTAAGTATCAAAAGTAAATGTGTAAATAATGTAATATTTGCTTATTTTAATCAAACCAGACAGTACAGTTTTCTTTTTAAATGTATGGATAGCCAGGGGCACACTCCAACACTCAGACAGCATTTACAGATAGCCAGGGGCACACTCCAACACTCAGACAGCATTTACAGATAGCCAGGGGCACACTCCAACACTCAGACAGCATTTACAGATAGCCAGGGGCACACTCCAACACTCAGACAGCATTTACAAACGAAGCATGTGTGTTTAGTGAGTCTGCCAGTTCAGAGGCAGTAGGGATGACCAGGGGATGTTCTCTTGATAAGTGTGTGAATTAGACCGTTTTCATGTCCCGCTAAGCATTCAAAATGTAAAGAGTACTTTTGGGTGTCAGGGAAAATGTATGGAGTAAAAAGTACATGCTTTTCTTTAGGAATGTAGTGAAGTAAAAGTTCTCAAAAATATAAGTACAGATACCCCCAAAAAACGACTTAAGTAGTACTTTAAAGTATTTTTACTTAAGTACTTTACACCACTGCCCAAACTAGCCCTGAAGAAGTTAACATTTGTCTTTTAGTTGATATCAATATTATAATATAGTGTAAAATATTATCCCTCTGTCTCCTCTCTTGTCTGGTAGAAAAACACCCGTACTCCGTGGCGGGAGGTGAATATCCCGGGCCACCTCAACTCCTACACTATCGCTGGCCTGAAGCCAGGCATCACCTACGAGGGTCAGCTGATCAGCGTGCTGCGCTTCGGACGCCGCGAGGTCACACGCTTCGACTTCACCACCACATACGGTTCCCGTGAGTATGACCGCAGTATGACCACAGGCCCGTGGATTCTGTCTCCTTGTTGATAGTGTTATTGATATTTTGGCCCGGGAATCGGATTCACACGAACACTGATAAACTACCTGTGCACTGTGATTGATGTCCAAAGGTGAGTTCTTCTTCAGGATGGCATTGAGCAACAGCGATATTGATATCTGTGAACGTCTAGGAAAATCGCCTTTTTTTAAAAGTCCATCTCTGTGCACAGGTCATTTAATCCCGTTCCTAAGGTTTTATCTTGACCATCTGATCTTTCTTTCAGTGGCCACCTCAGAAGGAGAGACCACCCAGCCACCTCCGGTGGTGGACATCAGTGAGTCTGTTACAGAGATCACCTCCAGCAGCTTCGTCATCTCCTGGATGTCTGCCTCTGACACCGTGTCTGGCTTCAGGATCGAATACGAGCTCAGCGAGGAGGGGCAGGAGAGAGGACAGCCCATGATCCTCGGTACGGAACAACCCACTGGGCACACACTGGTTGAATCAACGTTGTTTCCACATCATTTCAATTACATTTAACCGACTTGGAATAGACGTTGAATTGACGTCTGTGCCCAGTGAGAATACACTTTTTTTATGCTAGACCAGTGAAAGGAAATGTCCAACAATGCAGTTTCAAGAAAAATAAGTGTTAAGTAAAAAATAAATAATAATAATAATTAAAGAGCAGCTGTAAAATAAAATAACAGTAGGGAGGCTATATACAGGGGGTACCGGTACAGAGTCAATGTGTGGGGGCACCGGTTAGTCGAGGTAATTTAGGTAATATGTACATGTGGGTAGAGTTAAAATGACTATGCATAGATAATAAACAGAGAGTAGCAGCAAATAGTCCGGGTAGCCATGATTAGCTGTTCAGGAGTCTTATGGCTTGGGGGTAGAAGCTGTTGAGAAGTCTTTTGAACCTAGACTTGGCGCTCCGGTACCGCTTGCCGTGCGGTAGCAGAGAGAACAGTCTATGACTAGGGTGGCTTGAGTCTTTGACCATTTTTAGGGCCTTCCTCTGACACCGCCTGGTATAGAGGTCCTGGATGGCAGGAGCTTGGCCCCAGTGATGCACTGGGCAGTACGCACTACATACTATATACACTATATGACTGATAGGGGGCGCTGTGTTGAAGCCACCACACCTCGATCTTAGCACTCCCACACCCACTATTGTCCAAAATATTTTGGAAGCTATAAAAAAGCATTTATGAAAGTCTAGATTCATTTTTGTTTATTCTATTCCAGACACCTTTAATGTATATTTTTACATTTTATATTATGTGAGCTAAACATAAAATATATCTATATATATTTTGGTCCTAACGTGCATGCTTGTCTCTCTCTCTAGACCTTCCCCGCACCGCTACCTCCGTGAACATCAATGAGCTGCTTCCTGGAAGGAAGTACACTGTGAATGTGTACGAGGTTACACCTGCTGGAGAGCCCAACCTCATCCTCACTACCTCTCAGACCACT